TTTTGATGAATCGATCAGTTCGCAAGTGCTTCAACTCATATTTACATGTATTCTATTTGGCTGACAGTAGACGTGGACGTAAGTGCTAACAAGTATCTGAATGCACTTAGATTGATGCATGCACAAACACTTGCATACCACCTTTTCAGTGGAGTCGGACTGATGCACATGATGTGTGCGTGGTGATATATTCATCGAGTCGAGTCGATTCATATTGCTTAAATGCATCAAATAAGACGTCATCATTATCAACTGCTACTTCAAGAACGCACTATTCACTACTCGGTGAAGAGTAACGTTTACCTGACTCCTTATCGGACTGTTATAATGTTGAAAATATCAGAATTATCATCTCATACAATCAGTGAATCAGTATCAAATGAAATCAATGCTAACAAAATTGCACTTATGATATATGTTTACTCTTTTTTTTTGCTTCTCCCTATGCTTTTGAGTGTATTGCATGCAAAAGAGAAACACACACTTGTTAACTTGAAGGCTGATTGCGAACGCGAATATGTTACAGTGAAAAAGGGAAGTATGAATGTTGTTTAATGATAGATAACGACATCTAATGATATCACCGAAAGCGATAGTAATCCTTTTGAAAATTGTTTTGGCATTCATCAACGATATTTTCCACGAGTTAAACCTTTAAAATTTATCGGTATGTTGGTGAAACAATCGAGCAAATTCTGCGTTGAGCAATTGTATAATATTGTAAATAATTTTTGTGAAATGATAGCTCTGTGAACTTTCGACTAACTGTATCTCAGTTTTGAATTTCGTATTGTTTGCAAACTAACTAATTTTGAAATGAGCAAATATCATGATTTACATTGTTATCAGCCATACGCGAGTCAAGGAGAAATTTGTCGTAACAACTGGCAAAGTATTGCTGTTGGACTATAAGGATATAACTAGCTCTGATTGACAATAAAATGTTCGAGGAGACGTGAAAAATAATTAATCTCTAAAAGGTCAGAAATTTGAGCTCTGTTAAACTAGAAATGAAAGCTGCGTCGAGTAATATTATCCTATTTTAATTAGCTACTTCTAAACAAAATGGGCATCTGAAGGAGATGTGTTCCTTGAGTAACTTAATTTCAATATTATGACACAGAAGATTCTGACTGTTATGTTGTAGAACGATGTTTGTGCAGTGAAATAATGAATTATGCATGCTGTATAATGTGTTATGAGTACCATAAAACAATGCAGTCGCAACGCGTAAAATAAACCCTTCATCGATCTGAGCCGTTCATCTACGCGCTGAAAACCAATGCATGCGTACAGTATTTTCATCAGCTTCAATTAAATTAACAATTGTTCGATACTAGTGCTCGCCACGTTTGACTTTGATACATTTTTCACATTTAAGTAAATGAAATGAATATTAGCGTTCTCTTCGAATCATTTGCTAATTTCTATTGAACGTTATTGTGCGATCAGATTCGTTATCATTATAAACATCCAATTAATACAATCCACAAATTTGTCATTTTCATTTCGAAGCACATCCATTACTGTCCATCTATCAGCGCGGTCGCGATCTTGTCATGTGTCGTTCATTTCTCACCGCTCACGTCTGGCAATAGGCTCGAATATTCTAAGACAGCCTAGATCCTAGTCTATAAAGAAAGTGAAATGAGCACTTTTTTACGATAAATTTTCATCGGAACGAGTTTTTATGACATGTTTAGAGGATATTTGCAATCCGTTGAAATTCTAAGCTGCGATGATTTATACTCTCTCTTCATTTGCCTTGTTCGAAAGCTGTCCATTTGTGTGCAGTGATAATCACTGTAATTCATCATTGATCAAGTATAGACTGCAAATTATTAAGTGGGGATCGAAGTGCGCCTATTGAAAAACATTTCATTTAGTTTCAACGAAATTTCAATTCGTTTGGATTATTCATTAGAGTGACAGATTTTGTGAGGAAAAAATGGAACCCTGAAGAGTGCAATTCCTAGCTGATCTAAAAGTAGGTAACTTGTGTGAAATTTTGCTTCAAAAAATAATTCGAAAAGTTACTGAGTTAAATTTTTTTCACCTCAGATATCTTAGCAAACGAGTGTTGAATTTTTAAATTTCGTTGGTTTTTTCTTGATGATCCTCTAAAATCGTGTCTTTTTGACTGAAACAATTTCTGTGAAAGTTCATCGAAAAAAATTTGGTCGAAAAGTCGCCATCTTCACTGTATACTTTGGTAAAAAATAGTTTCAACCAGCCACCGTTCAGATTAATTTTTTGGAGCAAAATTTCATGCAGATTTCTAAGCTTAGAGGTTCTTTTAAGTTTGAGACCTAGGAAATTCTGACATCTGAAAGTCGTACATTGTGATGCTTCAGGCGAGAAACAAATTGACCCAGTTAACTTTCGAAGCAATTTTTTGAATCAAAGATTCGCATTTTTAAAGCGAACTACGTTGTTTCTAAGCCAAAAGGTGTTGGTCAATTATCAAATTAATCTTTGCGATCATTTGCAAATGTTTTATCAAAGTGGCTCACGAATACACCGTGAAAATCGGTTGTGCTATCTGCCAAACTTTTGAATCAATCCGTTGCATATCTCTGACTTTAATGTTCGACCAAAATATGCAGGTGTGTATACGTTGAGGTGATATTCATAAATCTGTGTGTGCTTATAGACTATATTAAACTTATTGCAATTCATCGTTTGGGAAAACTTTGGGAAGCTTAACTTACAAAAAAAACCTGTAGCCTTCTAGTTAATCGCAATTTATAAGTGCTACCTACATTATCTGACAGCGGAGGTATGATTAGTCGCCATAACTGACTGACTGTGAGTCAAAACCAACATCATATGAAAGAGAATGAAAAACTGTATCATTTCATTTCCTGCCCAATCGACCTGTGAGCCGAGATAAACGGAGTGAAAGACCGCGAAATTTGCACACATGATAATGTTCATCTGTTTGTAAGGGGTGGGTTAGACGGAAGAGCACAGATTACAAGACCGAAGTTTGATCACCGGATGTGCGTTTTTTGCAGTGCTAAATTTCTGATGGTGAATAAATTAGATGTGGAGAAGGGAGTAAAATTACGAATCATTGTATGGAAAGGAGCGTGCAAAGACATTGCACAAATAGGATATCAAAGTGTATTGGGTTTTTTAGAAATTATTAAATTTGATCGTTGTCTGCGTCAAATCAACGTGCAAATATGATTAAATTTGTGGTAAATTTCAGGCTCGTATTAAATATAAAGATATTTCTCGTATTGAAGGAAAGCAACATAGATATTTCTGATAGAGACATGACATTAGATTAACTCCTGTAAGAACTTATTGTAAAGGTGAATTTCTCCATGGGTGAATCAGTTTATTCATCGTGCAAAAGTGGCATACCATTTTCAGTGAGAGTTCGTGCTCTGTTTTACTCCCGATTATTGCTGAAACGAAACAATTTGGGCGAATTGTAAGCAAGCAGTTATGATGTGTAATCTCAATAGATCTTATCTAATTGAAACAGTAAGCAAATGATTAACACTCCAAGACAACTTCCTAATATCGAATCATACTAATTGGCATGTACAATCCCGTGATAAAATTCAAAATAGATTGAATTTCAAGGGAGCAGTTCGTTGCATAGCTTGATTAATGATGGTGACGATTGCAATAACAGTGATTATAGTGGTCTTTATAGTTGATGTTGTCCTCAATAGTGTCAGTAGTAGCAGCAGTTGTTTGGTAATTGGAATTAGCATTCAAGTTATTATTATTATTATTGCGATGCATAATTATTAGTTCAGGTATGTCCACGAGTGGCTGAAACTGCGCCTCACCAATCGAAACAATTTTCGCAGTTTTTATTTGACTGCGGTGCAACAAATAACGCAACGACTTCACCACCTTGTACGACGGCTGCTGTTGGTTTACCAGCACTACCTGATTACATATTAGCAGCTGCGTTTGCGTCGCATTCACCTTTGTTGGCTCCACCGAATACGGCACCGTCACAACAGCCCAGTTCCGTACAGCTGACAAGTTCATCGTCGACGACATCATCATCCGATTCGTCTTCACTTCTTTTCACAGCTAGTCAGCTCTTCGCTGCTACTAATTCCCATCAAGACGTCACTGCGGTTGCAGTTGTGGCTGCTGCGGCACAACAATTGCAGCAACAAGTGGCTGCCGCAGCCAGCATTACCGTGCAACCATCTTCACATAGCACTTCTACTAATGCCATTGCTACTGCAGGTAACACTCATCGAGCAACGCTTAATTGTACTCTTACGGCTGCACCGCGACAACGCAATGTTTCCGTTGGATCACCATCGCCATCAACCGCAATAGCATCATCACCTAATGTCACTGCTGCTTCGGTAAAGCCGATTCCTTTCTTTGCTACTTCTGGAACGTTGAGTACAACTCCGTCATTCGTACGTCCATCTGCATTCTCAGTGGTCACTAATCTGGCTGCTTCGTGCTCAAGCACTAGTGCACAATCATCCTCGCCATCATCCTCATGTGCTGGTGGCGTTTCATCAAGTGTCCATCAACAAACGCTGCATTCGAGCACAACACAGCAGCAACCAGCCATCAGTCGAGCATTACTTGAACAGGTCGTTCAACCGGCACGACCTCAACCTATTGTCCACTCGGTCAACATTGATTCGTCGCCATCTGCTTCACAACAACAGGTAAATGTTTGTTGTTTATATTGGTATTACTCACAGCTCGTTTACATTATATTGCCTACGCCTGCCTGACTCAACCATATTCCCAGATTCATTTCTTCTATCCAGCAGTCACTCTTGGTGTCCCTACATATTTGGACGTTCATTCATTTTTAACAATTTAAGATAGTATATGTACAGATAATGTGCCTAAGAAAAACAAGCATGTGGTTTCGGTGATTTAGAAAACCCACTTATGTGCATATGTACCGTCTGAGCGGTCGTCGCTTTTGTGTTGTATTCCTCTCATCTTACCATTTGAGTGATCATTTTTACACTTGTTTTGTTCTCATTGAATTGTGGACTGAATTGATGAAGATTCAAAATGTTTGTGAAAAATGGAGAACCGAAAGTTTATAGTATAAATGCTGCATATATTTCAAGCAGCTCAAAGGCGCTATTATTTGATGGCTTCGCGTAATTATTTAAATTCAATTCTTAGAATACACTCGTCTTTTACGATGTTGTTTCACGATTGAAAAATTAAAAAAAAGTGATTTGAGGAACGTGACTGTTTGTTATCTTCAATACAATAGTTTACTCTTTATTGTTTGCATATTTTTTGACGTGTTTGTAAATTGACTTCTCGTCACCTATATAGGTGGGTGGTGTTCACAGTCAACATATGAATACAACGGCAGCAGCAGCGCTTTATCCTCAACTAATGTGTTTACCGGTTTTGCTTGATCGTTTTGGGCCGCATATTCTTCGATCACAAATGAATCCGGCTCAGTTCAAGGCAATCCCTAACAATGAGCGTGTGGATTTGGCGCGATTCCGTGCTAGGGAACCACAGGTTCGTTTCATGATTCCTGTTCATCTTATGTCGTCCGTTGTATCGGCTTTCTGCAGCGCATCCCTTTTTTGAATCTTAATAAATTCCTAAGCAAGCGAGCATGTTTTTTAATCATTCAATTGTTTTCTGATTGCATGCAAACAATATTCAGTGGAAACAGATAAGATGTGTGGAATGAATAAATCTGATGTTAAGTGTGCAATATTTGAAGCTTTGCATTGTCGTTGATCATTGAAGATTTTTAATCAGATTTGTTCATCATGGTTTTTTGCACGTTTCACATTGTCCGTTTATATCACTTTGATCGTCTGATCAAGTGGTAATGTGCTCGTTATCACTGCACAAATTCAGTGATGGTGTCATCGCACTTTTCATCGTATTATCCACCCTTTGCTGATCCTTGATTTTTCGATTCTGTTGTTGAAATTCTTTATCGCTTCGAAAGGTTCTTGCGTATTTCTTGAAATTTCCAAGTTGGCTATACAACGTTAACGCGGAATTAAATTGTAACACTGACAAGTCTAAATGATTTGAAAATGTTCATTTTCATAATTCGTTGCTGTAACTTCTCTAGAAGCAGTTTACGACTGAACATTCGGCCTATTTTATTATTTCTAAATTGCTTTCAGAATCCAGTGTTGTAGCTGAACTATTCTTTGATTCATTTATAACTGTCGTTGTATTTTCTGAACATTCAATTTTAGGACTGGTCAATGGAAGATGTGATCGCGTGGATGTTGGATGTTGCCAAGCGAAATCATATTCCCTTTGAGGATCTCGAAATGCAAAAATTCGCTAGTTGCACAGGACCATTATTATTGCTAATGACTGAACAGAACTTCAGGGATCGAGATCCCAACTATGGTTCTCTGTTGTTTTCCGAATTTCGTCGTCTCGTCAGAGGTAGTAATTGCTTATGAGGTCGTTCGCTTGTAATTTTCCAAAAAGATTGCTATTTAAGGCGAAAAAGATGGAAATACGGATTTTGCTGTTGTTTCTGAAGAGACCATAATGGAAAACAACAGCACATAGTTGTCAACGTCAGAATAATTGTATGAGCATTAAAATACATCGTGCATTTATTACAGATGAAAGTTTTATCGATGATTGGATGCGTGTATATAAAGAATCTGAAGAGGAACCGCAACCGAGCACAAATCGAGTTTACGACCCATCGAGGTATGATGGTAAATTATTCTTTATTTCTTTGAAGAATTCATCTTTGTGTCAATAATTCTGTGCTCTCTGCTCAGACGATATTCCTTGGTATTTTTTCATCTCAGAGTGGGTGACAGTAACTTTCTGCTGTTCAATTAATGCATTGAATATGGGTTTGCGAAGACATTTAAGTAATAACGATTTACGAAGTGAATAATTTGGAATCAATTTGAAGGATGTCAGCATCAAGCGTTTACAACTTCACCACCTCATCACCGCTTTCTCCATCCATTCTGTTAACTCATCAGCAGATTGCCTCTACGAGTGCACAACCACAGAATGCGTCACCATTACCGTCCACTCTGCCCTCTACATCGTCATCGAAACTTCATGCTGGTGCATCAACCAGTTCTGATTTTGATTCACCTGGTTCGTATTCTATTAAAAGCCTCGTAATAGTGCAGTTTCGTTGGAGGAATTTGATTCTTCATTCTCTATTCCCCAATTCACTTCTTGCAAACTATTATTGAATGTCCTGTCTAACGCATTCGTTGATCTGTTTATTGTAAATCAATTTTCGCTCCCAAAAAATGCACATCTTTGTAGAAAAAGCTGCTTGTTGAAAATTTCTTCCTATCGTACGCTGCATACGAAATAAACAAAAAGTGATGAATTTGATTGAATATTTTGCTGCAAGTTGCATTCATTCGTGTATGTATCTGAACAGTTGTGCCCTTCTGTACATACCTATGAAGTCTGTTCGAACGATTCTTTTGTGATTTTCACAGAATTTTTTGTGTTTATTCGTTGTTTTTTCATCATTACACTTATATCTTTCTATGAAGCAATTCAGTGAGCGACTTAGCTCTCATGTTTGAATTTACACTTAATTCTCGACGTCCATCTCATTATTATACGCAAACCCACCTAGTGAGTTGTTCTTCATATTCTGCTCCATAATGATTTCCATTTAATAATTGTTTCTGAATTGAGAGCTGCTTCAGCATGACCAAAATTTGCATTATGGGTGGTCTATTGAAAACTTTATATGGATCCAATGTACGCCTCTGTTTTACATTAGTCGGTTCGGCATCCTATGTGATACCATACACATAAGTAGTTTCATGGGGACTAATTTAAAATTTTGTTTGATTATTGATCGCGTTATCTCCGACGAATCATAACGACTGCTAATGAAGTGTGCAATGGTATTTCTGGCTTTGAATTACGGAACAGTTTTTTTTAACGATCGTTGGTCCATGCTGAAAAAAATATTTTGATCGGTTGAGAGGCGTTGATGGGAGGGATGTGTAGCGAAGCGAACGCACTGAGGTAGGTTTTACTTTAGCGACACGAACGCTAATCGAATGAAATAGCACTTTTCTAGCAACTCGAACGCGAATTGAATGCGAAGTTTTATTTTTAAAGGAGAATTGAATATGAGCAACAGCAAAGATTAAATCACGTGTTCTCTTCTCTTCTCGAATCCACACATCGGTAACACCATAAACGCTTCTCTTAGTTGATAGAGTTCATGATATGCCCAAAAGGCAATGCATAAACACGTGCTAACCACATGGCTTAGGTCAGCGAGCACGCTCTACACTAATGCCCTTATGCGCTATATCTCTTCACTCTTTTTCACGATACTCGTCGCGACGGGATCTGAACATTCCAATAATGCTCCTCAGGATTTACATTCATGAATAACCATTTTCAGCTTTTTCCGATGAAGCTGTTCTGCACGGAGTGAATTCAAAGATAAAGAAGAATAAGGATGGTAAACCACGAAAGCGATCACAACATACAAAAGGAAATAAATTGTGGGAATTCATTCGAGATGCGCTAAAGGATCCTTCAACATGCCCGAGTGTCGTCAGGTTGGACACTTTCAATAATTTATATCGAAGAGCACCTTGAAATTCACTCACTTCGTTGTTGTTCTGCACCTCCAATTCCAGTTCGTTTTGTCGAAACATTCGTTGAGCATTGTCATTGTAAATACTTGGTTTGTAGTCAATAAGGTCCTTTGGGGTACGAACATTTCATATGACAGTATTCGTGTAAAATATTCGAATAGGAGGGAAAGTCGTAGTGTTTCTTTGGCTGAACATCCACCTTCTCGAACATCAATTCAGTTTACTGCCTTGCTAAATTCTCAAAGTTTTGGTATTGCTGAGTGAAAGCGAAGTTGAGTTATGAATTCGAATTTACTATTTAATCAAATCAAAAGCAATCATTTTCTACCTTTTTCGACCAAATAACTCTCTATTTGATGCATTGTGTTGTTTTGTCCATTAATATATGAAATTTTTCGTGCAGGTGGGAAGATCGAATCGAAGGTGTTTTCCGAATAGTTGAATCGGAAAAATTGGCCAGGTTATGGGGTGAGAAGAAGAATAACCAAAAGATGACATATGAGAAGCTGAGTCGTGCTATGCGGTAAGTTTTTAGATTCTTGAATGTGTAAAAAGTGTATATTTCATTTCTAAATAATATATCGTTACGTTTGTTTCCATCTGAAGAAAAATTACTAAAATTTCACAGCTGAATCTTACAGTTGGGCGGCAAACGGTGTGTTTAAGTGAACCGTCTGGTACTTTTTTCCCATTTTAACATCAGTGAATATCATTGAGAGAGTTCTAGTTGAATCTCAAAAGTCACTGAACGTGGCGTTTGTGGTATTAAAGTGTGAGCAATATTTGTGGCACTGGATCAAAAATCCGGAATTTTTCTAACTTCATAGTTCACGTTTTGATTAACGTTGAACACTCATATGGAGAGCAAACATTTGACAATGTTTCCTTCATTCTTTTATCTGTCTATAAACTAATCTGTTTATTTCTATCTTCAAATATTCAGGACATATTATGAAAAACAAATCCTGGTACCTGTGCCCAAAACTGGTCTCTATCCAAAAAAATTGGTCTACAAATTTGGTCCAAGCGCGCACGGTTGGGATGCACCGTTATCTGTTAAAATGGAGCATTGTGCTTGATTCGGTTGGATTATTCGATACGGGTCATAAATTTGAATACGAATAACAGACTGTTTGGTACGATGAGCGCAAAAATGCCACAACTATGCTCCTATCGGGCCGCTTGCCTCCTTACCTAATGAAACTAGTCTTGCCCAAACGCTCCGCCATATCTCAGCCGCACATCACAACTTTGCTGCGAGATCTCTTTTCTACCTCTTCATCATTCATATTCTTCTCGCATCACCAACGTTCACGATTACAGGTTATTCATCTCATTATATTCTCTTTTCGAATTTCCATTTTTAACAAGAGTTCTTCATTTGTGGAGAATATCTCTTTCATAAAATATGCGTAAATCTTGTTGAATTTCCATATCAATCATCTGATATTTAGGTATTATCGCTCGTACATGGTACAGTTTTATTCCTTGTTTCCAAGAAATCTAAAGTGAACGAAATTGCAACAACGATATATATTTTTTCTTTCGAATCATGGATTCTTCGATTACAAATCGAGTTCGGTTCTTTCAGTTACGTTAGCGATTGTATACTCCGTAAAAAAAGTAATAAACGTGATTATTTCGATCAGAGTGAAATTTATTCATCGTTTCTTATTGTTTTTTTAAATAAATACTGTTGATGTGTTTATCACTGTTTTTGTTATGTTGTTGTTCAGTGAAAACTTATCCACTGAAGTTATTTTTCCAAATTGATCCACTATCGAGAATCTTAATGTTCTAACATTCAACTCCGTCGTTTTATTAATATCGATCAAATCTGACAGTATCTAAATAATAACTGTGGTTCATAATTGAGAAGTATTGCGTTGAAATAGTGAAATAATGGCGGTAAGTTTTTGTGATCATTTGCATTCCGTTTCGTTCAGAAATTTTGCTCTGAATACTCCCGTTTTTAGATCATCTTTTGTTTTAACACAGTTCTTTTTCTGACTGTAAAATTCAATAGCCTCCGTGATTAGATTTTTAAAAGATTAGCCATTCTGTTAGTTGAATGAAAGAATACAAGAAAGAAGTGACAAAAATAGATCTAATTTTAATTTCCATTCACTGATGGTCGAAACTGACGATCGCATAGTTATTTGAAATTGTTTGCTCATTCAGTTTCATCATTTTTTCTGCTAGTATTGGGTGTATTTCAATTGAATCGTGCGAATCTGCGTCAGTGTTTTCGCCTTTGTTTGTGGATATTTATGCGAATCAGTGCGTCGGATGATTTGTGCAACATTCATTTCGAGGTTTATCCGAAATGCTTGTGGTTGTCTAAGAAAAGTTTAGAGATTACGTTGGAAGACTTCATGTGATTGTTCAGTTTACACCACCGCTTATTGACTGATTTACAAACAATATGAGGTATCAAAAGCCAAACAAATTGGGAATATGCGTGTTAATTGAACAGGGTGTGATTTATGAGGGATAAAATATCTGTCATTCGTTCTCAGTTGTCGAATGTAATTAATTTGCGAATGAAAGCGGCTATAAATTTCATTAAAGCTGGCCCTCATCCCAAATAAGCGTCTTTTTTTCGTAAGAATTGGAAGTCATAAGGCCCTACTTCGACCAAATATCCGTCCGTGAGAGGGCTTGAAATTGTAAGTTGTGAGGTGTATAGTAAGAATTTTGTGATGTATATGCCGTTCGTGTTTGTACGATGAATATTGTTTTTTGGTCATCACAATATGCGTATTAATTGAACAGTTAATTTCAAATATTACATATTCCAGTTGATGTTTTACTAGTCTTGATGTGTTTGTCAGTTAATTCCAGTACTCTGTTTCATCGATCTCATCGCTCTTTTCTTCTTGTTCTAGCCTATTCAAGTGATTCTTTCATGATTTTACTAACCGTTCAATTTATATATTTCTCAAATTCAACGAAAGCTAGATTATTTCCAAACCATAGAATGATAAGTTGTTTGAAATGATTTATCAGCATCCAACAGTTTTCATGTTATCATTGTTCTGTGTTACATTCGATGATTTGGGTGTTGCCACTGATTTTTTTTCTATTTTCTTATGGTTTTTAACTTATATGTTTAAATTGTTTTGTTGTGAAATATAGAAGAACCGTTGCCATAATCAATTATTCCCACATAGTTTCCTCATTTCATGTATCATTTTAGTTATCAGTGAAATCATTCTCATCCATATGCACACTCTGAAACATTGCATATATATGATCAAAAATTGAATGATGAAATTATTATGTCAGTCTGTGTTTTCATTTTATTGTGATTATTCATTGAAGTGGAAGTGATATGGTGAATTTTTAACGTGTTTTTATGTTGTCAATTTGAATTAATGTGATTAACAATTCATATGTATTGTATGTTGTTTTATTCGGGAGCTGATCTTGCATTCTGTCTTCTTTACGTTTCTGTTATCAGGGTGTTAGATGTTAGATGTGCAGTGAAAATCTCAGCGCCTGCGGAAGCTGTTTTTGTTTTTTTTTTTTGTTTTCATAACTTCCTTACGTATCTGTTGACCACATCAACAATGTGATTATCGAATGCTAATTGTAAGCAAAATTTTGCCTGCAACGAGCACAACGCTAATTTATCATGAATCCTTATCAAAATATAGAACGATCGTTATCAGGAATTTATTCATTATCTTCAGGAATTTGTTCTATACTGTATTCATTGAGGTTACGCTTTGTTTTTGTAACTGAGTTAGTAAAATGGGTTTTAAGAGCGATGGAGAAGGAAAATTCATTATTCAAAGGACATTGACAAAAAATCATTGTTGATCTTACTTTCAATAAGATATTAATGTCTTTTGATTGTTCTGCTCCATTTTGCCATAAGAGAATATTCAAGTCAAAAAGTGATGTGTACATAAAGAGTATATTTATTGGAACATGTGATGTTATAAGAGAACAATAAATTTTTATCACTGATGTACCGCACGTTAATTGTCTTTCGAATGCTTGTAACAACGTTGTGGTGGAAACCGAACGAAACTTTGGCTCCGTCGCAGTTCGACATTTCCAGATCTAGAACGTCGTTATTCCAATCAAAATTAAAATTTCCCAATCATAATTCGACTGAATTTGCATTTTGAGATTCCGAAATTCGTTATTCTCACTGAACTCCGAAATTCCTCAGTCCGACCTCGACCGAAAAATTTCGGAATCCACCAAAATTCGGTAACTTTTCGGAATTTAATGAGAATTTGAAAATTTGTGCTATACTGGAAGTTTCGAACGTTTCAGCGATCCAAAACTGTTTAAAACGTCTATAAACGAACAAACAATCAAGCGACGAAAAAGTATGCAATTTCTTACTTTTGCAGACTGTTCCAACGATTCAAGGCTATATGTTAAAAATTTATCAAGTATTATGATAACAAGGTTGAACATAAGATACATTAATAATTCAACTAGAAAACAATAAAATAATTTTGGTTAAAAACAACATCTTTTGTATAGAAAAATCCCATCTTTCAACTGAAAAAAGTATTTCAAAAAAAGAAACTTTCTATTTGAAAAACAGCTGAAGAATAGAGAAAAAACCAACAAACAGAAAAATTCCAAAGACAAAAATACTATATTCCAATGAAAAGCGAAGTTCGTTTAAAAACAGATTTCAATTGAAATATACGTTTCAAGCGTGAAAAGCAAGTCATTAACGAATGATTCAAAGAATGAACATACAAACCGAAGAGTATTGCTATTTATAATAATAAAAGAAGCTCAAGTGAAACGAAAATGTTCACGAGTTGCTGAAAAATATTATAATGAATCGAGTTTTTCCCGACATACGTCCTACCTCCTTTTCCCGTTCAGTTTTCTCGCTCTCCTTCCTCTCATCGACCACTACGATGAATTTATCATCCCTTAATTTGATCCCCACTCTCGAATTTACCCATTCTCTATTCTTCAATTAAGTTTATCACACTGGCTAATTGTATTTCGTAATATAAAATACGAGCATTGATACAGTTCATACATATTTATTGGAACATGTGCTCGTGTAAAGAAGCAATAGAGAATCATCAGTCTTGTAGCATAAGCATACTAAATCATTCATCATACCTCGTACTCCCCAAGCGCACACGTTGCTCCCTCAAGACTATTTTCCTTTCAGTAAAACGATAATCGATCGCAAACTTAAATTCCTTGTCCTGGTCATGATGGTTGGCCACTACGACAATATTACGCAATTATTTGTATCTTAATGAACGTTACAAATGACCACACACATAGATTACTGTTGAAAACTGCTCGAATATCGAGTGAAGTGTATGAAAAACTCGCGCATCGTATTTGAAATGTGATCCGAACTACTAGTGACGGTAAAGTCCAACCGAGATTTAGTCAGATCCTGACAGAGATTGGAGTTTTGGTAATTCTTCGCTTTTTCGATACTCACCGATGTTCCTTGATCGGGAAGTTGAAGCTGTTCGATATTCGAAATTTTGAAAATGATCCTCTACGACTACTGATTTTCATTGCTGGTTATTTCTGAATCGAACTTGTCCACCCGTCTGGATTCAACACCTTACTTAGGTACAGTGAAGTCCTTAATTTCAAGCAACCATAAATCATATATTGAAATATTTGACCCTAATTTATTGACATAAATATCACTGAGTTCCTCTTCTCCGAGTATAGCTCAGGCTACCAAAAATCTTATTCCCCCACAAGAACAGCCTTGCCACTTGATCTTGCTTCTATACGCGACAAAATTCCAATGCATTCTGCTGTTTTGTTTTTTCTGTTAAAGTTTCAAAACCTTAATGTTTTGTTTCAACATACAGAACTGCAAAGTGACAGCCAATTCAGTGAAGTTTGAAGTTTACCGGAATGAAATGGAACGAAATGATATGCAGAGCATGGTTCGCTCACTAACGTCCAAGGAAGTATTGTTGGAGAAAGGAACAACTCAAAAAATTCCATTCGTTTTCATTGAACTCACAAACCAATATCAATTACCACAGTTCGGAAGTACCAAGTGCAACAAAAAAAAACAAATACAGCTGACTTCATCGCTTACGCAACG